TTTTGACAAGAGAAATGGAAGTCAGTGGAGGAGCCGTAAGTGAATTTAGATGCTTCAGATGCAACGGAGTAGGGCACATGAAGAGAGACTGCAAGTCTAGGTACCAGAAGGAAGTTGTATGTCATGGATGTGGAAAGCCAGGAGTAATCCGCCCAAACTGTACTAAGTGTTCAAAAAACGGGAATGCAGGGAGTTCCGCGTAGAACGGCGCTCCCATATAAAAACCTCCAAAGCCGAATGGGATAATTGGTGCCGACAGGTCAGTAATTTTTGTAGAAACAAACCAGAAATCTCCAACAACAACGCGTTATTCGTCAAAAAACCGGGTGACAATAGGCCATACATTGAAGCGGACATTTTTGGGGAGGAAGTCATAGCGCTTTTGGACAGTGGAGCAAGTCATTCAGTTTTAGGAAAGAGAGGATTATATATTGTAGACCGCTACCAACTTCATGTCTCAGATAGCACAAATTTTATCATCTGTACCGCAGACGGAAAGAAACAAAATATTGCAGGCTCTGTAAATTTGCCTATTAAAGTGGATGGAGTGTTGAAAATAGTTAATGTATTAGTAGTGCCATCGTTATGTCAGAAATTAATTCTGGGATCTGACTTCTGCGAACAATTTAACCTATCAGTGAGCTATAATAGAAGGTCCATTTCTGTAGAGGAAGCAAATAAAGTTGGCCGGATTAATGTAATCCAACCGAAGGAAAGACTGACTGAGGAACAACTGAACAATTTAGAAGTGGTGGTCAAAAAGTTTCAAGACATTTCATGGAAAAATGGGACCAAGTTGGGTAGGACGAGTAAGGCTGTTCATAAGATAGATACAGGTGACAGTGAACCGATCAAACAAAGGCCACACAACTTATCACCGTACATGATGGAACATATCTATAAAGAGCTAGGTAAAATGTTGGAGCTAGGGGTAGTGCAGCCATCGGAAAGTCCTTGGTCTAGCCCGATTCTGTTAGTTAAGAAGACAGATGGTACGTACAGGCTATGTTTTGATGGACGTAAGCTCAATGCTGTCACTAAGCGTGATGCATACCCTTTGCCAATAGTCGATAACATCTTGAATAAGTTAACCGGAGCTAAATACCTATCTAGCGTAGATCTTAAATCCGCATTTTGGCAAGTTAACCTGGACCCAGCATCTAGAGAGAAATGTGCTTTCACTGTTCCAGGAAGAGGACTATATGAGTTCGTAGTCATGCCTTTTGGTCTAACAAATGCAGCACAAACCCAACAACGCCTGATGGACTCAGTTTTAGGACCATCACTTGACCCGTATGTGTTCGTCTACCTGGATGACGTAATTATCGCTACCCCCACTTTCGACAAGCATCTGGAAGTCTTGGGCGAAGTTTACCGAAGGCTTAAGGAGGCAAATCTAACTGTGAATGTAGACAAGTGCGAATTTTGCCGACCATCACTCAAATACCTTGGTTTCGTCGTAGACGAGAATGGACTGAGGACTGACCCAGAAAAAGTAGCGGCAATGTTGGACTTTCCAAGACCCGAGACCGTGACCCAGATGAAACGCTTTATAGGTACCGTCGGGTGGTACAGGCGATTTATAAAGGATTACTCATCTATGACATCTCCCATGACATATTTGATAAAAGGAAAGAAGAAGGCGCAGCGACTTGTGTGGACGGAGGAAGCAGACAGATGTTTTATAAAAATAAAGGAAGCGTTAGTGACAGCCCCAATCTTAGCAAACCCAGATTACACCAAGATGTTTTATATTCAGTGTGATGCATCGATGGTAGGGTTAGGAGCAGTATTAACGCAGAAGGCAGAAGATGGGCAAGAGTTGGTCTGTGCTTTCGCTAGTAGAACGATAACTGATCAGGAGCGAAAGTACACCGTAACAGAGCTTGAGCTTGCTGCCGTTTTGTTTGGAATCGAAAAGTTTCGACCATATGTAGAAGGCGTGAAATTCAAGGTAATCACCGATCATTATAGCCTACTATGGTTGCATAATTTAAAAAACCCGACTGGACGATTAGCCAGATGGGCTGTGAAATTATCACAACACGATTTTGAGATAGAGCACCGGAAGGGGGCTTTAAATGTAATCCCAGATGCCTTGTCTAGGGCACCATTAGAAGTTGCATTATTAAATTTGGAAGCTGAGGACTGCAAAAAAGACCCATGGTACGAGCGAATGTGTGAAAGTGTACAGAAAGAACCTAAAGAATATCCAGAATGGATGATTAGCGAAGAAGGTCTCCTGTATAAACATTTTCTATCAGATTTAGTAGTCGATACCAATGTTCCGCAGTGGAAACTGGTAGTCCCGAGGCATCAGAGAAGCAAAGTTTTGAAGGAATGTCATGATGATCCTGCTGCAGCGCACTTAGGAGTGTTCAAAACGCTTATGAGGGTGAGAGACAGTTATTACTGGCCGAAGATGAAAACTTTGGTTAAAAGATATATTCAGTCCTGTAAAATCTGTTCGGCTCAGAAATCCAGAACTGATGGTAGACCTGGTTACATGGGTAAACCAAAGAGAGTTTGTTTTCCGTGGCAGATGGTATCAATAGACATTTTAGGTCCATTGCCTAGGTCAAGTGGTGGATATGCTTACTTACTTGTTGTATCCGACTATTTTACCAAGTATGTAGTGTTACATCCGATGCGTCAGGCGATTGCGTCGACCATTGTCAAGTTTCTGGAGAACGAGGTTTTCTTGGTGTATGGCGCACCACAAGTAATTACAGCAGACAACGGCACGCAATTTGCAGGAAAGCTATTTAAGGACTTGGCGGAGAAGTATGGCGCGAAGATCTGGTTCAATGCTCGTTACCATCCACAGGTGAACCAGGTGGAGAGGGTTAATAAGGTCATAGGAGCAGCGATACGGTCGTACATAAAGGACGGAGACCATAAAAAATGGCCACAAGAGCTCCCAAAAATAGGATTTGCTCTAAGGACAGCTGTGCATGAGTCTACAGGGTTTAGCCCAGCCTACTTAAATTTTGGTAGAATTGTGCCGACAAATGGAAGTTTTTATGGAGAGGCTGGAAAAGCTAAAGACTTTAACTTTTCTCCATTTGATCGGGAAAAATATGCTGAGGCCATAGGGAACTTACCTGAAGTCTATGTAGACGTCCAACGAAAATTAAAAGAAGCATACCAGAAATGTCAACATAGTTATAACCTAAGAAAAAGGCCAGGAGAAGAGTATAAGGTAGGAGATAAGGTGTGGAAAAGGAACTACGTGTTAAGCAATGCACTAGAAAAGTTCTCAGCAAAATTAGCACCTAGATATATTCTATGTAGAATAGTGAAAAAGCTGTCACCGCTAGTATTCCAGTTGGAAAACATGGAAGGAGTTAATCAGGGTTCATTTCATCAAAAAGACCTGAAACCCTACCAAGAGAGGAAAGAATGAATGTTTTTTATGAATTTGGAGTGAGTGATCTCGTGAAAGCAGGTTGAGTGAGTAGTAAGTATGAATTAGGGTTTAAGTGAATAGCGGTAAAGAAATAAAGTTGACTGGCTTGAGAGCAATGTACCAAAATTTATGATAATTATCTCTTTTCTTATTCAAAGGTATACAGTAACTGGTTTTGTAAATATATCTAAAATTGACATTAAAATAATTTAAAATCTAATGTTTTAAGGTATGACTTGATAATGGTAGATTAACATAAATATCTTTAATCAATTTAATATATGTTGGTGGTGGTTAGTCAGAAAAAAAAAAAAAAAAAAAAAATTATTAGAGAAAGTTAAAGGGTTTAAGAAATAGAGTTTTTTTATTTTTTTTTATCCAAGAAAGGGTGGTGTGTAACGGTCTATATTTATAGGTAACATTAACGTTAAAAAAAGTAATAATAAAATAATACCATACCTTAATATAAAAATATCATTTATTTAATTTAAAAGTTACATGTTTGTAAATATTCATGTAGTGTTCTGTGTGTGTTCGTTTAGTGGAATAGTGTCCTAGTCTTCAACGAAGAAAGCAATCTCCTGCTAGAATCCTAAAAAAAAGAAATATGTATAAGCAAATTAGTAAACTTAATAAGTAATTTTGAGAAATAGACATAAAACAATTGCTTTGCAAAAATTTGGTTAAGTCAATTAGTCTGTCAATTGTCATTAACAATATAAATTGGAAAATAAAAATCCCTAAAGGTCCCCCACTTACTTCAAATTTTTTGCCTAAGACATTCTGCAAATCATTTCCTTTTCGATTGAGCTATTGCTGAAGGCAGTTGTGCCTGATAACGAAGCTTTAAGTTGCTGATTAAGTACAATAGTGTAAAGAAGTTGATTCTAATAATTTTATTGAAAATAACAGCCAAAATCCATCTATGTAGGTTTAGTTTTATTTTAATACTTTTATATTATTCAAAAATATACATTTAATCAATAGTCTCTTTAAGAATGATAATTCCAGTAATTTGTAAGTGAATTTTTATGTTTTAAATTATTTTTACTAGTCACAGTGCCATGTGGTATTTTAGTTTTTTTGTTAAAAAAAAAAATATATAAAAAAGTACCTACTTGAAAATGACAGTTGACAAATTTTACAAAAAAGTCAGGGTGTGGATTCTAGAGAGGATTGTTTCTTTTAGGCTGTTTGGATTTGTATGGAATTGTTGGTTTAATGCTGTTCAATTGTTGGTTGAATTGTTTTTTTTGGAACCTTGAATCGGAGTTGACATATGGTATTTTTTTGTCAAGTTTTGCCCTTACCGTAGAGTGCTTGTCATGGGTGTGTGACTACCTAGACGAAACTGATTGAAGACAGTAACCACCTGTACCATATCCACTTGTCCGGTTGTTAAGGTAGTAGTTTTAAAGTACTTACATTTGTGGTGTACAAAGTGTCATGCTAAAAACATATCTCATTAGCGAACAAAAAGTGAATATTTCGTTACTTACCTCTACAATATTACACGAATTTGTTTAGTTTTAAGTTTAGTTGTAAGTTTAGGTTAAGGTTAGATTTTGACATTGTATTGTAGGTAGATAAAATGTGTAAGTAGTTCTAATGCGACAGTGTTGCCACGTTTACTTTTTATAAAAGTTTTCTACTATATTGTTTTATTAATTTTATAATCACAATAAATAGTTATATTGATAGTTTAAACTTAGTATTGTTGATATTCCTCAGACTACCTGTCGATTTGGTCACGACTGGCGCCCAAATATTAATAAAGTTTTTTGAACCCATGCCCAGCCTCCGAGTATAGGTAAGAGCAGGTCGATTGTGTTTAACCTTAGAATAAATAATAATTAATAATAAAACCCAATAAAAAAAAACTAAAGGTTTCAACTTTTATCTGATTTTAAGAATCTTAAAATCTCTTTCCTTTTTGAGGAGAAGGGGGAGGTCTTGATAAGCTTTTATATCATATAAATTCTATTATGTAATAAATTGATGAGTTTAATTCAATTTAAATTTTATTTTCTTCTTTTTAGTACTTTTAAATAAAAGCTTGTTTTAAAAATGTTTTTTTATTATTAATTTATTTATCTTTTGTCAGGTACTTCTGCCATGAGTAATCATTTAAAATCAAAACATCAAGAGAAGTTTAATTTGCTGAACAAAGGCAAAGACAAAGACGTACCTACGCTGCTTCTGGAGCCTGCCGTTCCTGTTTCTAGTACAAGAAGTTCGTCTTCGACATCGATGGAAAAGCAGCTAACTTTGTCCGAATCATTTGAAAGAAAACTGATTTGGGGCGTTAGTGACCCAAAGGCGAAAAAATATCATTATTTAATTGCAGAAATGATTGCACTAGATAATGAGCAGCTTTGCATCGTAGAAAGGGTTGGATTCAAAAGACTCCTTTAACAAGCTTTACCTCGCTACGAATTGCCAAGCCGCACTTATATGACCCAAAAAATTGTTCCAGAATTTTTGAAAAAATCAAAACAAGCATTTCAAACGCTGTTGCAGTTTCTGTCACTTCTGATATATGGACGTGTGTGCATAATAACTCCAGCTTTCTGAGCTTCGCAGCTCATTGGTTGTCTCCAGAATTCCAACTTCAACACGGAGTTCTTGCTATGAAACCGTTTTCAGGATCTCACACAGGAGAAAACATCTCTATTTCTACAAAATCAGGAAATTTTGTATGCATGAAAACCTCAAAATAAAAACAAAAAATAAACCAAATACAATTAAAAACAAGATACAGAAAACTAGTGTTATACATCAGAATGTGCAATCTATTGGAAACTGTGTAGAAGAATTAAATGAATTGGTTAGTAAAGAAAACGATTGTGTTTGTCTTTGTATTACTGAGCACTGGAAAAATAAAAATCATGGAATCAGGGGGTACAGCCTGGCATCAAGCTTCTGCAGAGAATAAAATAAACATGGAAGAAGTGTATATGTGAAACAAGGTGTTGTTTTTCACGAATTAATTGGTGTTTGCAAAAAATCAGTGTGCTATGAGTTTGAGTGTTTGGCATGTAAACTTAACATAAACTCTATTAAACTAACCATTTTATCAGTGTATAGAACCCCAAATGGCAATTTTAATATATTTTTAAAACAACTAGAGGAAGCACTGAATGTTGTAGGTCATGAGGAGGGTATAATTGTTATTGTAGGAGATTTTAACATTGATTTTTTGAACAGCAGTTAAAAAATGATCTTTGCATTTAGATTAAATCTTATAACTTAAGCCATTCCATTTTAGAACACACGCGAATAACAAGTACATCCAAATCATGATTGACAACATTTTGACAAACTGGGATTGGGTTGACTCAACCCAGGTTTTGCACTCCATAATATCAGATCACACTGCACAAAAAGTATCCTTTAACATAAATGGCAAAGTAAATAACAACTATTTGCACAAAAGAATCTTTAATGAAACAAACAAAATAAATTTTCTTAATATGTTACAGGAGGTTGACTGGAGTCCAATATATTCCTTTCATGCAAAGGAAGTAGAAAAACAATGGAATAAATTTATGGAACTTTTCATTAATAAATATATTTGATCAATGTTTTCCAATTAAAAAAATCTTATTAGTAAATAAAAAATTAAAGTCAGTGCAAAATGAAGATATAATGGAGTGCAAAAATAGATTAGACATATTGTATACAGCTAGTGTTGTTGACAATAGATACAAGAGTGTTTATGCCCAAGTCAAGAGTATAATAATTTGCTAGCAAAAGCCAAATCCAAACAATTTGAAATTAGAATTCAGAACTCTGACAATAAATCTAAAAGTACCTGGAGTATTGTAAATGAAATTAAAGGTAAGCCAAAAACCAATGAGTTACAGATTAATGGTGATATGAAAATAATAGCAGATCAATTTAATAATTTCATTTTAAATGCAGCACCGCAGCTTTTAAGTGAATTAAAAGACATACCTTTTTCTACCATGATAAAGGGTACTAAGCACTCTATATTTCTTAAACCAGTAAATGCGAATGAACTACTGTCAATAACAAAAAACGAACGAAAAACAAAATGTGTAGTGGAGATGATGAAATCCCACAGTCTATTGTTAAAATTTGTATTTTCTTGATAGAAAAGCCACTGTGCCATGTAATCAATAATTCCTTGGAACACGGAATCTTCCCCAGCCAACTAAAATCCTGTCTAATTATACCTATCCACAAAAAGGAAGACACAGACAATGTGGAAAACTATAGACCAATTAGTTTACTAACATCCTTCTCCAAGGTCTTTGAATATGTAATGTGTCATAGGCTTGTGGAGTTTATGAATAAATCTGAAAATTTTAATGATATTCAGCATGGTTACCTAAAGGGCCGATCGACAACTACTGCAGTGTTCCAATTTTCTCAAAAAATCCCACAGACATTAGAAAAAAATAAGCTGGCACTAGCTATATTTCTAGACGTGTCCAAAGCGTATGATTGTTTAAATCACAACATATTACTTGAAAAGATGGAAAAATATGGAATCAGAGGTGTGGCACTGCAGTGGTTTAGATCGTGCCTAGCAAATAGAACCCAAAGGGTGTGTATTAACAAAAATAATAAAAAGACATTATCAGACCTTGGAGAAGTGATGGTATGTATTCCACAGGGAAGCATTTTGAGCCCATTATTGTTTATTGTATATGTTAATGACATAACTGAAATAAAACAGGAGTGTTGTGCCATAACGAACTATGCCGATAATATAAATCTGCTTGTCACTTCAAACAGCATCACAGAAATTGTCCCTTATGCTGACAGGGCAATAAAAAAAGCAGAAAACTGGTTTGCTCGATTTGGGGTTCCAGATGAGATTGTTATTAACAACCAAATAATTCACTTAAATAATACCACCAAATTTTTGGGATTAAACTTGGATGCAACACTTAGCTGGGACATGCATGTCGAGCGGACTTGTTTGAAACTGAACGCAGTGTGATACAGTATAAGGATATTGTCAACGTATTTAAACTTTGAAACATTAAAAATTATATATCAGGCGAATTTTGAATCGGTGGTTCGTTATGGTATAACATTATGGAAATGAAAAAAACATTAATGACATGTTTGTTGTGCAAAAGAGAGCCATTCGCATAATGAGCAGGTTGTCAGTGAGAGAGTCTTGCAGGGGAAGATTTCGGAATAGCGGCCTTTTGACTGTTACCGGAATTTATGTATTGGAATGTCTAAAATTCTTTCACAAATATAAAAAAATATTTGAACAACATAAACCACAATATATACACAATACAAGGTGTTTAATGTATATATATCCGGTACGTAGGTTAACGGTGACAGAGAAGGGCTGTTATTATAGTTGCATAAAATTTTGCGTTGCCAACCAATTTGAAATTGGAAACAAACTTCAAAATTTTTTGTAATTTAATTTTAAATTTTCTGATCAACTTAGAGCCTTATTCGGTGAATGAATTTTTTGAAAATGCATTATAATTTAATTCCTGCATACTTCTGACTGCAATTTCTCTAAGGTTGTATTTTTTGTTGTGTATAGCCTTCTATGAAATAAAGATTTTTATTATTATTATTAATACCAATGAACTAAATAATAGTTTTCTCTTAATTGATACTTTGTGCTGTGATGCTTGTTACAAAATGATGTTCTATTTATATATGTCATATACATACCACCTCAAGTATCTGCATCTGAATTTGAACAATATTTCCAAAGTCTAGAACAATTTACTTATAACCAAAAAAACCTACTTATTGTTGGTGATTTTAATGTACCTAATTTTATCTGACAAAGTCATTATTTTGGGTGATATGAATATAAATCTTTTTAACTTAGATAATCCATTAACTAATTGTCTTTATTCTTTTGGCTTTTCGCAGATTATAAACGAAGCAACTCGTATTAAAAAGAATACTGCTACTTTACTTGATCCTATTTTTGTAAATTGCTCTGAAAATATACTTGGGTCTGGAGTAGCTAATGCCGATCTTATATCAGATCACAGCTTAGTATACTGCGATCTAAATGTTCCAGTAGAAACATTTAAACAAAAGCTTATTACTTTTCGGAACTTTAACCATTTTAATGAGACTCGCTTTAAAGAAGATCTTTGCAGCTTACCTTGGGATAGGATTTATTATTCAAATGATCTGGACGAAAAAGTCGACTTAATTACAATGTATATTTATATTTTGTTTGATATTCATGCACCGGTAGAAACTAAAAGGGCAAGTAAACAAAATCTCCGTGGTTAACACCAAATTTAAAAATCATTTTTAATGTACGTGACAAAGCTTTTACAAAGTTTAAATCCAAAAAAACTCCGGAAAATTGGGAAAATTATAAAATGTATGCATACTTTAAATAATCAATCTCAAAAAGACATGTGGAAGGGCCTGAATGTCTTAAATATTCATAATAAAAGTAAACCAGATATTCCTGCGTCTCTAAAGGATCCCGACAAAATTAAGGATTATTTTACTTCCGTATTTAGTAAATCAAATTCATGCTCTAATAATACTGAATTTTATAATTCAAACTTGTATAAAAATGACGTAAAATTTAAACTTAAGTTAGCAACTGTTCAGGATATTAAAGATGCAATTTTTTCTCTTAAATCAAATGCTAGCGGCTAAGATAATATTTCTCTACAGATGGTTAAATTATGTTTTCCTGCTATCATGTACCATCTTACACATATTATAAATTGCAGGGGCTGATACAGAATCTTTGTTTGGGGGGGGGGCGATAGCCACTTTTTTAGGTGAAATAATAGACCTAAAATAGTAAATACAAATTTTATTTAAATTACAAAGTCGATTTTTCGCTTTCCTTTTTTCGCGAATCTTTCAATTATTTTATCGATATCGATGACAATATCAAAATGTGTATGTAAGAGCGCAAGACCAGCCAGCCTCTCTTCGCCCATGGTTGTACGCAACCATGTTTTCAAACGGCGAAGAGTTGAAAAGCTTCTTTCGCAAGTAGTGTTACTAATTGGAAGAGTGGCTAAAATTTGAATAAGCTGCCTGATGGTTGGATACACATATTCGTCACAATTTTCAAGAACTTCTTCTGCTGATTGTGGGATTAATCTTTGTTTTTCTTTCATTGTGCTCCAGTGTTTTGACCATACCTCGTACTCTCCTTTAAGATTCACTGTGCTTTTTCCTAAGAAACATTTGTATCGTTCTCCAAGAGATATTACTAGCTTTAAAGCATTATCTTTTTTTTCTTGATTATGATTTTTTATAATTTTTGATGGAAGTAGTAAATTTAAATCGAATACTTCCAAAGTTTCTTTTGGCAATCTTTCTTGGAGATCTAGTACAATGTGATCCAGTAATGGAACAAAAATTTTCCTACGATATTACTCTTAAGCACTAGACGCAGGGTGGTTTTCGCGGTA